TAAAAGTGTAACTAAATCAAGATATGATATGTATATACCCTCAATAAAATATATTATTCTTCTCGATGAAAAGGTGAAATAAGTTATATTTTTATGATTTTACAATCTTTATAACATTTGTGTAGTTGATTTGACTTCATTTTGAATTAATAGTTAACTCCATATTTAGGAAACCGAAATTATTGTAGTTTTTAGTTTTTACAGAAATTGACTGTAAAAGTCAATTTTTAACTCTCAAAATAAAAAACAACAACAACAACAACAACATAACGTTTAAAGTAATTGAATAGTTGTTTTGATTTTAGGTATTGTTATAACTCACAAATTTTAGAAGTTATCAAAATGTAAAACTAAATTAAAGTACTATATTAGCACAGGACATAGTCATGAAGAAGTGTCAAAGAAAATATATATCAACACAACATGTGTATTCTGTATTTATTGTCAATTAGACAAGGACATCAAGGCCAATTAGTTTCAACTTAAATGAGATAAATATTAATAATTGTTCTCTTTTATTACAAAAGAAACCACTTAAATTGGTAAACCACAGCTGTTGTATGAGCAATCAGAATTAAGGCTTTTTGACATGATAATATGCTAATTGTGTGCATTTTGCACCATCAAATTTCCACCTCACAAAACTCCATTCTATGCATTTCCAATTTTGCTTTTCCCCCTTCACCCTCAGTTGAACATTGTATGAAATGAATAAATTTGATTATGTGTCTTTCCACGGAAGGACTTAAAGGTCACACATTGGATTCGAATGCAATTCTTTCTCCTCTATGTTCTCATTCTTTTGTTCAGATATTTATCCACAGAAGAAACTTTAATAACTTACTCTGACAGAAGCAGATTTTTACAGCTGTTTCCTTCTTATTTTTTCTCATGTTTATGAAAACAAAAACAGGGCAATGGTGTTGGAGACTTTAATCATGGAATATTAAAACATAGAATACACACAAACGCACAAACACACATGTGAAAAAATACATCCTACCCACAATTCTCCAACCCTAATCCAAAACCATTTAAATCTGAAGCAAAACATTTACAACCTCCATGTGAAACGAGAAATAATTATAATAAAACAACACGAATAATACAACATAGGAACGTAAACCAAGGTTCAAATGAATTCAGCTTTGTAGAGATTCCAGATCCATTACGTCCTTCTCTTGTCCCTTTTTTTTTTTTTTTTTTTTTTTTTGTTTCCTTCATTGAATGTATATTCCAACCTAAACCCAGAATAGCCAGGGTGACAAAAAAAGCTTTGCTGGCATGGAACAGCCCCCAACACACACACAAACACATGCACACCCACTTAAATGAAGCAAAAAGGTGTATTGAGATGAATGAATATGAGTAGCGTGGATGGATGTGCGACGTGTTATCATCTATTTGGGTTGCTTGCGTGCGTGGGCGGGCGAGAGTGTGCGAGTGCGTGTGCTTTGTGGATGTGAGTTTTGTGTGGCGGACCTTCGGAGAGGCGGATGTGTGAATGGCAATCGACGGCGGAGGTTGTGACAAACAAACCCAATTGTCACAAATCCCAATTTCGGGACTCTTGCGGTGATTCATTGATGAGCCTGCAATACCCACTTGCTCATTTCGTTTTCCTTTTAATCGCAGGCTCATTTGTTGTGTGTCGGTTTGGCCTGTACGGTTTTGGCTTTCGGACATCCGTCGTCAGATTTCCGAGGGCCGAAGCGTCTCTTTACGCTCGCACGTCACTTGCGGAGCAGGTGGCAAACGTTTATACGGTTGCGCGGCGATGGTGGTGGTGCTACTGCTGCTGCGAGAGCTGGTACTGTCACGAGTGCTGTAGAGAGGAGAGAGCAGTAGCCAACAGTGTAGAGCATGGGAATGGTGGAGATGATTAGAATTGTTGTTTGGGGGGGGGGGGTCTCGGTGATGGGTTCATGTCGTGTTCCACCTTTGGAGGCAGCCCTGCAGCAGGAGGGGCAACCCAGTTGGACTGTGCGACCAGTGTTGGTTCCTGCTTTTTGAGGATCGTTACTAATAATGGAAGAGGCTTCACATGATGGCACGTAGGAGAAGCTAAAGTTGCCACCCCTGGTTGTCTATTCATGGACTCTGGGTTCCGTGGGAGCACACAGGAGGCGCATCTCGGCCGTCCCGAGCATTTTTATTCAATTAATTTACTTTTCTTCTCTTTCCTCCCCCATGAGGTTTGAGCTTATGGCACATTCTTTGCTGCCTTTTCGTAACCATTTGCTATGTTTGGGTTGTGGAGCCCCCGCTCTCTGGAACCTCGGTGTCGAGATCCTTTCAATGGCCATGTTCGCTGCATGTGCTGAGCTCATTGGGTGCGCTGCTCCCTGGTGTGCTCACGATCAGGAGCGGCATGGTATTGCGTGGAGAACAGGCGGACCCCGCTTCGCAGCCTGCCGCAACCTGCAAGTACGATGGGGGATATTCTTGCATCAATTCTTGAGGGGGAGCGGTGGAAACCGAAAAGTAAAATCACAGATCACAAGGGACTACCCGATTGGCCAAACGCGGTTCCAGTAAAAGCAGCAAACTCTTTGTTCCACCGCCTTTCGCTTTTACTGCGACCTTAATTCAATGGGAAAGAGCGCAAACCTCCCTAAACCCGTAAACCCTGAACATGGTTGAAACAATTGAATTGAGAAAAGCAGTCTTTCTTTGTCATGGAATTGATACACTTGTTCACATGCTTCTGAAGATTGGAGGGGAAGGGGTGAGTTTTTTTAAAAGGTCATTTATAGAATTAAATATTTTATGTTCAAAACAATGAAAATGTTGAGTGTATTTTGATGACCACAACTCTAGCATTGAACTTGTCTATAGTGAAAAAGGTTAAATTTTATTTGTGATGCGAAGGTGTATTATATGGTTTTGATACTTTTTAGAAAAGAGTCTTAATTCTTACTTTTGATTCAAATCTTGTAAAGTATGCATCCCTGTAGAAACACAATACAAATCAATGATTTTGAAAGTCTTCATACAAGATTAAGTGATTTTAATGTTACTATTTTATTTTATTTTATTTTTTTCCAAATAAAATAAAATCTTACAAACAGTAGTATTGAGTTGAGATATTTTATGATGTCATTGATGCACATTTACACTTGTGCAATTAATGACAATACTTAAAAATTACAAAAAATGCTAAAAGAATAAAGAAACTTTCATATTATTTTCTAAAGTAATAGGTAAATGTGAAGTTATAAATATTGATTTTGCACATGTTGTATTTATAAAACAATAAATTATAAATAAATATATGTACTCTTTAAACAAATGAAAGTGAATTATTTTTTGGGAAAATTACGAAAATTTCCCTTCAAAATATCTGAAATTAATCATGTTACTCTTCAATGTCACATAGGTTATATTTATTATGACTATGTGCTATAATGCAATTTTTTTTAGTATCTGAATTCAAAAATACATTCAACAGACTCATATCATTTGTCCATCAATTGATCTGTTTGGATTCTACATTATGTGAGCCTTTTTTTTTTTTTTTTTTTTTTTTTTTTCCCTTCTATGCTGAAAGAATAATTAAGTACTAATCTAAACAAACAAATGAAGAGTGATGTGTGAACTCCCAAAGTGTGGACAATTTTTTTGTAAATGAGAACAAGTAACTTGGAAGTAGTAATGAATTTTGTTATTTTTTATTGATATTATCATTACCTTAGTATTTTTATTCTTTTGATTCCCAAGAGGGAATTAAATAGGGTTCCCGCTCTTCCCAACTTGAATTGGGTGCTTTCATTGTGTTTTTTTCCCTCCTTTGCCGTTTATAACCATTGTCTGCACAGGAAGGAGTTTGCTCCCATCTTTTTCTTTTCGTTTAATTTTTCTTTGTATCTATCTATCTATATCTGTATATATATATATATATATATATATATATATTAGAGGGCATGCTTGCTGTCTCACCACAAAATGAGAAAATATCATGGTTTCCCTAGTCCAGTCATCAATTTTCAAGTTGGATGCATTTCCACTGGCATCCAATTATAATTCAGTCTTTCAAAAAGATTTCATGCATTTACACTCCAGTTAATATTACGTTACTTAAAATAAAATTAAACAGTATAATTCTACTTGATGAGAGACACATGTTCATATCATTTGTGTTCTCTCTTCATTGTGTTGTCACCCACCATGTGAATTATTTTTCTTTTCATGGCATCCGTATATAAATATGTAAACACACCCACACACACACACACATGAATGAGGAGTGCAAAATACTAACATGGGGAGTGCAAAATTATGTCCACTCCACCCTCTCTTGGCAAAAAAGCTTCACCATTTGTCATATATATATATATATATTTTTTTTTCCAAACTGCACTGACCTTCACTCTGCCAGTTGGCTCATTGTGTATTAGAAAGCTGGAATTAAAAAAATTCCTCGGCGTGACAGAAGTTTTAATAGAGACATTCGAAAGGAAAATTCTCCTTTGCCAAGGGAATTCTGGTGAAGAGGGGCTTGGGCACAAACATTCTCTGCCACAAAAAATAAAAAAACAAAAAATACAGTGAAATAAAGAGGGGGCAGGTGGGGCAGTAGCAAGACAAAATGTATGAATGAGTGTGGTGAGATCAACATTCACTTTTTCCAATTCGGAATTGAAAATTCTGAAGTAAAATTGTGAGAGTGTTAGCCCTAATGAGGCTCATAAGAAGTGGTACTCGAACGAAGTTCCCGAGATGTTTTCAATTTAGAGAACGCGCTCTAGGTGTGGGAACGGTTCCCCTGCGTGTGGCCATGCAGGGCCCGCCATAACTGCGAGTCCCGACATGAACAGAGATGCACAACTGGGGTGTATTGCGGAGGTATCGTTGGATACCCGGGACGGGGAAGGGGGTTGTTGGATCCGGGTACTGCTGTTGTGCCTCGGAGGGCCGCGAAAACCTTGCAATCCATTTGGGTTTTGCGGTAGGGCATCGTTGTGCAGGATTCCAGACGTGAACGAAGATAAAAGCAGACTGGGGGAACGACAGAAGTGTCCTTCGAGCATTGCCAGACCCTCGTTCAGTGATCAGGCACTTGTCTCGGGAGGGATCTGAGTCTGAGACTCCTCCTGTCCAGTCACTTGGAACGTGCAAGACAACACTGGTTGGCTCTTAATAGCAGGATAGATAGAAGTGGACCCGAGTTGCAATTTACTCCTCGCTCCAGTTCTACTCACAGCCTTTTTTTTTTATCAAACAGAAGTTGCAGTGGCATGGACCCGTCGCTATAGAATCGGCGCAGCGTCGTTTGTGCATTTGGTTCCTTTGTGGGGTAGCGAGAGTGAGAGTGAGAGTGAGTGAGTGATTGAGCGAGAGAGGGAGAGTCGTATAGCGAGTGTTGTCTCTCGAGTGCAGTGACTGCATTGTATTATTAGCCCCACCCGAACCTCACCAGTGAATCTGATTGTGTGTCTCAACTCGGTAATTCCCGAGTTCCGCGCAGGTGTGTCGAAATCCAAAGTGTCTTGTTGGCGTTACATAATCTTTCGATTTCGGTCGTCCAATTCCTTGCAGGTCGGCGAGTGGTTGCTAGTATGACACTAGCATTAGCATTATGCAAAGTTTGCTAACTGTTTGTGAAGCTCGTTGTTGAATGTGATTCTCATCACGTTCTGGGTACCGGTTTGTAAGGCTTGGATTGGTAGCGTGTGTCTTGGCTCGGTTCATTGGATGGAGAAGGCTACTCCGTTGATTGCGGAGGTTTTGCGCCGTCTGTGGCATATGCAGCGAAACCTGAACTAGTTCAACCACAAATGGCCGAAAAGGAAAGATCTACATAACGTGAAGGCTTTCGAGGCGATTGTAGAGAGCGAGCTTGGTTTATTCAGAAAAATACCTCAAGTCTCTTCACGTTTTTTGGATCCGGCATCCGCGTGGTTGCATCATTCTTTGTAGATCTCCCCTTCTCTGAAAGTGAAGAATTTCTCTTCAGTCCTGTGTGGAGGTCTCGCTCCGTGAGATTTACATTGAAACATTTAGGATTCTAGCCACCCCCACAATGGCGGTGGCAGCTCAAGGTCTGTCATTCTACGACTTCTCCCAAGTGGCGCCCGTGTCCAACCCCACTCTTATGCTAAACGAGAACGGGACTGTTTCCTATGGGTCTGCGACGTTGTCTAGTGGCGCCGGGCAATCTTTGCTCTCTAGCTTCGGAGAAGGATCCAATTTCGGCATCCCTACGTGGCCAGAGTCACTGTACGCCTCCTACAATACCACTAGCCTCTTCAATTTGCAAAACTTCTCAACACCTTTTGAGGATCCGTCCCCTGACCTTTTCTTGGGCAGCGACTCCGATTTTTTTAACCAGATCAACGGGATGCAGTCCAGCCTTGCCAGTACTCCAGCAGTGATGCACCCCAACTTGGTAAGCACTCTGAAGAGTATAGTTGCACCGGGTCCAGGCTCACCCCGACAAGACTCCCCACATTTTTCGTATCACACATGCTTTGACCAGCCGACGACGACACAGCAACAGGTGTCCAGATTCCAACAACAACAAAATGATCGTCTGGGAAGCTCACTGTTGTCATATGCTTTTAAACCATCAGATGTTAAACCCATCATTGTCGCGCCGAGGACAGACGAAGCCGACTGTCAAGCTGTCCCACTAGCTTGCTCACAGTCTTTAAAAGTAATTGCCCTCCCTATCCCCCGGTTGTGGTTTATGCTTTTACAATTAATTACTGTTCGATTGCCCTTTGTAATTGCACCTTTGAATACATGTAGACATTCCGAATGTTGTGAATATACTAACGTGACTTTCGCATTTGTTGCCACAGATAGAAAAATCGGAAAGCGAGGACAGCATTGAGGCGGCAGTAGTGTCCGTGGATTTGATTCAAAACCGTCGTCCATTCCGGTGCCAACACGAAGGGTGCAACAAAACCTTCAAAAATCCCCAAACCATGAAGATGCACCACAAGACGCACTACACCGACGGCTTCGCAGCCAATAAGTTGGGCGTGCAACCTCTACCAACACTTTGCAACTCCCTCAAGGCAGGGCACAACAAAAAGATACCGTCTCGATGCCCGAAATGCAAGAAAACATTCGTAGGGCTCTACGAGCTGCGCAGGCATTTCGGTCGCAAGCATTCCGAAGGCGAGAAACCCCACGGCTGCCGCAAATGTGGGAAGAAATTTTATGTCGAGGTAATCATCTTCTCCAGTGCTATCTCAAACTGTTCCATCATCCATTCCAGGCAGTTACGGCACTGATCACACACTGACTCTATGTTTTTTTCTACCGTGAAGGCGGACGTGTTTTTTTTTTTTTTTTTTTTTTTTTTTCTAAAACATTCCTTTCGCTGTCGTAGGTCGATGTACGTGACCATGAGAAACTATGTGGCGAGCCGATCGAGTGCAAATGTGGGCTCAAATTCGCCTTCAAGTGCAACTTAGTGGCGCACAAGAAAGCGCATCCTGCCTGCCAGGATACCCAGACCAGCCCTTCCATGTCGTCGTCAACCTCCGGAAGCGCTATATCCTCCAACATCAATAGCAACAACAACCAGTCATCGTCTTCCTCCAGCGACTCTGACCAGAGCCGCGGAGGCAGCAGCTCCCCCGCTTCTGGCCGTGGAACCAGAAGACCGCGCGAGGAGAGTATTAGCCCCGTAAACTCGTTTCACAGCACCCCGCTCCCGGAACTCAAAGACATTCCTGAGGCGCCCCAGTTCAAGTGCGCCCGCTATGACTTCTCCGGCAACTTTCCCTTCTCCAACGACACCAGCAATTCATGGTCATCTCCCTCCAGCATCTCTCAGTATCTGCAAGTGCCCACTTTCTCTCACTTCAACCCCTTGTCTACGGCGTCTCTCTTCCCCACCCAGCAACAAACACCGTCCAGCTTCGCATTCCATCTGCCTCAACAAAGTCCATCTTTCGATCAGAGCTACGGTACAATTGCTGGCTTGGATATGGGGATGCCGAGCAACTACAATTCGTCTTCTTCTTCATTAGGTTCTTCTCTTCAAGGCATGGTCCGGCTCACGTGAGGGTTACTGATCCTTCCTCGTGTCGCGTCCCGAGCATAAGGCCCGTGCAAAGCCAATAGTCCATGTCTCGTGATTTTCCAATCGGAAGCATTTTCCGTGGAGTCTCATAGACTTTGACCACACTTCCCATCATGCGTGGTCAGCGTCTATGAGAATTATGAGCTAACTGTGGAGTCTGAGCACATTCAGAGGCCAGAGAGTACCATGCTGCGGCCGCGAGGGGTGTTCGTTTAGCACTAATCTCGAGGAAACCACAACAGTTGATAAAGAAAAGAAAAAAATCCACCGTGTAGGATAGTTAGCCAGGTGGAGTGAAAAAATTATGCTAGGTCTGAGCTGCATACAAAAAGAAATAATGGGTACGTAACAATCTGCTGTCCCCAAAGACGATTGATTCTTTCGATGGGTATTCATGTTACCATTCAATAAATTGCCTCTGGATGACGATGTTCTTCCGCCGATTGGGCTTTTTACTTGTGAACCGTGACCGGCTCCATCTAGAAGCTACTGATTGAGATACGGATTCAATCTTCCCCTGTGATTTTCATCCTGTGCGTTTCAAGGAAGTGCTACATGACACATGTAGATTCGTTGTCTGTTTCTTTGGTATTATCTATCTCTCGTGATGTTCTGAATCTGACTGTAGAAATAGTGCTCTTCCTTTTATGTAAGTTCTTTGCACCTCAGTGAACTCAAACTAGACATGAACTCGCTTAACTATCTTGAGTAAGATCATGTCTACTTACATGCAGAAGCAATCACTTATCAGTTGAGTAATTTTGCGAAGATGCACATATGGCAGTCATCTATCTAAACTAGTAGGAATGGAAATGACTGCACTGGAAGAAAGAATCGGTGTTGAACGACACTCACTTCCACTCTGGTGTAATATAAACTGTGAATGTATGTCGGAATGCTATTTGCTGCGAAGGGTCCAAAATCGTTGTCAGGAAGCAAGTTACTTGATTCATCCGATCTGCTCTGGCGAGTTGCTTAACCGTTACTTATCACTTGTAAGCTTGCCGGCAATAGTATTTTTTTATCACAGGGCTTCATCAACACTTGGTCCGCAGCCTTTGACAGACGGACATCGCCATAGAAGTCTTTAGATGCCAGCTTTCATTATGTGACGCGCTTAGATTACAAGTCGTGGTGGTACTGGCAAAACAGTGAGTGATGTATTAAGGAAGCGAGCGGAGTTTCGAGGGTCAACTGGAAAGCTTGACGAGCTTCAATTGGAGAAGGGAGGCTTGGTTTAATCTTATGCTTCCCAAATCACAAATCTGAAGAGGGTGGAAAAATAAAACAAGAATACACCAAAAAAAAAAAATCATTCAAAACCTCAATTATTTGACTTCATCTGGAGTCACAACATTTGACTGATCTCAGACGCAAAAATGATGTGGACGTGACAAATGCGATGCCTCAAGGCATCATGAATGAGATGGGGTGTTCCATGGCCTCTGCTGCTTCAAAATGTGGTCAAATAAACAAACATAATTAACAAGCTTCAAAGAGATTAGTATCGGGTATTAAACTCCCAACTCCAAGGTCAACTTTCTTTCAGATTCAATTTTCACCAATACAGTAAGAGAAACCCATACAATCTAGACCCAGCACCGATCAGAACACTTCGATGCATATTCTCAGCTGCAGTCCACAAGTAAAGCGCCGCTTGATCCACTTACAGTGAATACTTGCTTCATGCTCAGGCTTGAAAGTTGATGCCAGATGCAAATGGAACTGGTGCTACAGTTTCCCTCAAACCCACATACTCGACAGAACTCTAGTTCTATGCTGCAGCTGATGTCCCGTCCAAACACATGCTATCGAATGCTTCTGGAAGTTACTCAAGAGTAAGACATCACAACTAATAAGTTGCAGCCCTTGCAGGAGTAAGATATAAAGCCAACATCTACTGTTGTATGCATGGTCGGTTTCCTGCAAAATAGACACTTGGGTCGTGGTATAAGGTAGCTAGAAACTTCTGCATAAAAACAGTCTCAGAAAAATGTTGCATGATTTTGTACAAAACCTGGGATTCTCATCTCACTGCTCAAGATGAGTTACAGTTCATGGCAGATTAGACATCAATTCTTCGAAGACTGTAAAGCACCCCGCAAAGCTTAGAATTGGGTTGATAGTTGCAATTGTTTAACTACAACCCAACAGTGTGTAATTGGTTTGCAAGGTCGAGAATGGGTTTTTCAACTTCAACAAACATGAATTGATCACCCATTCGATTAATGTGGTCACTAGATGACTCTGAGACACTTGAAGTTAATTTGATTGAAATGCAGACAACTAATCAACAAGACATTGATAGAATGATTTCAAAATTTTAAAGATTGACAAATAAAAAAGTTAAAAACTCTTAAATTTATCTGTAGAATATTTATTTACTTGTAGTAGAAATAAAAGACATCATAGCAAAAGATTTAATAAATTTTGGAATGATTGGATAAATATAGAATAAAGTTGAATCCAACTAAAGATGTTTATATATATATATATTCAATTTGTAACTATTTAAAATACATGAACAATTCAAGGCCCTTTAGGATAGTAAAATGATCAAGAAAAAGGCTTCAAAAAAAAAATTAAAAATTTTAATTTATGATATTTATTTTTATTATTTAAAAAATTAGATTTTATCCAAAAGATTTTTGTATGCTAAAGTTTTATAATAAAGTATCTAATTATGCATATACAATATAATTAAGGATAAATGTAATTAATGATCAAAACCACTTTTAAAATTTAAGAGTAAATTATTATTGCACCAGATTTGTACAAATTGAAATAATTTATTTTATAAAAATCATTTCTATTTAAATATTTGACAAAAAGATGAAATTAATAAATTTTCAACGAAAATTGATCAATTAAAAATATAAAAAATATAAAAAATTAATATTAAAATGTCATAATTTAGAAAATAATATTTTTAATGTAATTTTTATTGAGTTAAATTCTTCTTAGTAACAAATTTTTATCTATTTATATAATTTAGTAAATTTAGTAAAAGAAAATTAAAACATTATAAGTAAAAACTTGATTTTATAAAAGTGTGATTTGAATTAGTATTCAAGTTAAAATCAATAATTTTAAATATAAAATAAATCAAATAATATTATTATTAAACCTAAAATATCATAAAAAAAAACTAAGTCACATATTAAAAAAAGATAGAAAAGAAGTTTTTAAAATTACATGTTATTTATAGATATTTTTTTATAAATCCAAATCATTAATATAATAAATATTATTATTTATTATTTTAAATTATATAAAATTATATTAGGTAATTAATACTTATATTTATATATAGAATTTTAAAAAAATAATACCAAAAATTATTATTATTATTATTATTTTGGTATTCTTTATATTTAAAAAATAATAAAAATTTACAATAAATAAATTATTAAGTTCTTCTAAATTAAAAATTAATAGATTAGTATGTTTGATAATATATAAAAAATATTTTTTTACTTATAAATATCTGATTATATTATTTAAAAAATAACTATATTTATTTTATCATATAATATTTTTTTGTTATAATAGTATAATTTTAATAAAAGATAATTTTTTTATATTTTTATATATTTAAAAAATGACTATATTTACTTTTTATAAAAAAATATATTTTTTAAATTTTATAAAAAGTAAATAATTTAAATTTTATAAAAAAATATATTTTTTAATGATATTATAATAATAGTTTTGTACATAGTTGAATGATTAGAATTTGAGTCTTTTCACCATTTTTGCTTGATATATTAGTCTATAAAAGGTTGTATCTATCCAAAAGTCTAAATTAATATAGTCCTTATTAAGACATCATAAAACTTGTCTTTTGTAACTATTATATTTATTATCATTTAACTAATATCTATTACATTATTTAGTTAAAGCTATAAAGTAAGTTTCTTCTTTATAATGCATGTAGCTTGTTTTGTTTCTCCTATTGATGTATTTTTAGTCTAATGTCAAATTTCTAAAGCTATATTATTAATCTCAAAACATTCAATTGCTAAAACTTCAAAAAATCAAAGGTTGTCCTCAAAATCTACTAGCATTCTTTTTAGTCTAAAGATCTTTCTACATCTCATAGTAATTAAAATATATCTTCAAAATTTTCTATCACCACCACATTAGGTGATATCTAAACAAATGTTTTTGTTTGTATAGTTTAAACTTGAGTTTTTGCAATCCAAATATTCTTTAATTGATCAAACTTACTTCTACTAATTATATTAAGATTTTAGATTTTATATATAGCTCTAATATTTCTTGAGTTCTTCAACTTTAATATACATTAGATACTAGCTTAAATACAAATGCTATATCAAACTTAAATTGAGTCAACATTATAACAAAAAATATTAGTGCTTCATATACTTTGGTGGTACCATTAAATTTGATACCAAAAGTCTTCTTATATCACTTTTCATCTTTGTTTTGATAATATAATAGTATCTTTACCTTAGACATCTTTGACTTCATAGGTGGTATTATAAAAGATGCGGATATTATCTCTTTAATAATAAAAGATTTAAACAATCTTATTTATTGATGAACTTCACATTTTTAAAGATCCAATATTAGATTAGCTCTTTGGGACACATCAAGTATATTTATTGCTTGACTTTTCAACCTAACATATGCTTCAAGACTTCAACTCTTTCTTGTCATTGCTATACCATACAACATATAATCATAATCTTATGTTTAATATGTTTCTTTTGTAATTTCTTTAAGATTTCTTTTGAATTTGATTAAAGCTTTTTTAACATTGTTAAGGTTTAATTAGAGTTTACTTGATATTCTATTAGAATTAGGATTTTTTAATGGCAATTTCCATTCTACCGTCCACAACCAAGTACCCGGTGCATTCTTAAGCAAGCCTTCATGTAATACAACAACACATGAAGTCCTCAAATTTGTAAATATATTTTTATTATTCAAACCTTAATCTTATCAAGAACATTATTAATTTTGAAAATATCTCAATAACTCAATATTTATTTAAATGAAATAAAAATAATGCATAAAAATTTACCTTCAAGTTTGTTATTAAAATCTACTCTCTAATCTACCAAAGAACCTTGGAGTCACCATAGGTGCATAGTTTTGTGGCTTGGATCTGATTTTGACTCAGGTTGATAACCGGTGTCGTATTGTAATATGACTATATGGTGAAAGATGATAATATGGATCTTATTATAGAAGAGCCAAGTTAAAAGATAAAGTAGAAAAATATGGATAAAAGATAGGGAGGTAGTAAAACGTTTACTAGTTATGCTGCCTTTTAGAAAAGTGACTTCTAATTACTTTGTAGGGCCATAAATAAGGCAAAACAAAGTAGATTGGAAAAATAAATAATATAAGCATCTTCAAGAAAAAGCTAAGAATAAATTCTAGCAAAAATTATTTATAAAAACTAGATACTAATACCCAGAGAGGGCCAGTTAT